GGGGGGGGGACAGAAGAGGGGAAAGAGGGTGATTGCTAGAGTGCGAGAAGTAAATTGAAAGTTGCCGTACGCTGAACTGATCCGAGGTATGGATGTTCGTGCGCACAAATGTCTTTCTCCCCTCACTTTTCCTCTCCCTGTTTCCTACCGTCTCTCTCCACCCTTTTTCTGTCCTTTGAACCCGATCCACAGGGTCGTTAGCCCTTTCCTCTCTCCACACGTGCCCCTCCGCTCCCTCTCGACCAAGACCTTCAAGCACCTCCTTGCCAGCCCCAACATACGAGTACGTTTGTCCCCCTCTGTAACCGTCTCCTTCACCCCGGCTTCCCCCTCTTCCCCTTTCCCCCCCTTCCTACTGCTCTCCTCACGTCCTGGTAGCTCCCTATCCTCCTGGTCCTCCACCTCTTTTCCTTCATTCTTATTTTGCGCCACCAGAGAAATGCCTTCCTTTGTCTGCCGCACGTTTCTCAACGACCGGCATTCTACCTTCCCCTCTCGGGCTTGCTTTCTATCGCTCCCTTCTCCCCTCATTCCCTCCTCAGGTCCGGCATGAGAACACCCTCTTCCTCCTCTTCCAGATCTATTTCGCTCAAAAAGAAGACTGGCAGGGGGACACACCGGAAGAACGAGAAAAGTCACGGCGGGCGGCGGTGGAGGAGGTGAGGAAGGAGGTTAGGAGAGAAGGAGGAGGGCTAAGGAGGTTAGGAGAGAAGGAGGAGGGCTCCCACGGAGAGGACATACAGGGAGGAGACGCATCGATGTCCCATGAATGGGACTCCTGAACTTTCTTAACCCATCTTCCCCCCCCTCAAACGGTCCGTGTGCTCCGTCTTCCTTTCATTCTTTCCCCTCTCAGGTCCTTCCCTCCCTCCGTTTCCCCCGAATGTCGAGCGATTTTTTGTCCGACGTGGTTGCCCACTCCTCCCTCTTCGCTGAGTCCCCCTCCGCCACCCATCTTTTGGTCGAAGCACTGGCGTACAAGAGCCTGAGTCGGCTGCGACAGGTGCGGTGGGAGGACGCCTACGGTATCTTTTTTAATGGGGGGTTTGGATCATGTCTGCACTGACTAAAAGGAGGCATGCCCTCCCTACAGCATGTGAGTTTCCTTGTCTCCCGTTCCTTATTTTCTCCGGTACCATTCCCACTCCCTCTTTCCTCTTGCTTTTCGCAGGATCGTTGGATTCGCTTGGTCCGCAACGAACTGCGGATCGAGCACAAAGCCGCACAGTTCAAGGTGTCGATCCTCCCACCTGCTCATTCCCTTCCTTTTCCCCTCCCTCCCTCCCTCCCTCCTTGCCTATCCCTCTCGCATACCCTTCCTGCGCCCTGCCCACTGTTTTGTAGCTGTCCTCTTCCCATGCACGCTTATGGATCCCCCTTTTGTTTCCTCTCGGCTCAGATCAACCAAAAAGCTGGAATCAAACCCTGCCCTTCCGAAGTCCAGGCAGCGGTGCGGGAGGCGGAATCGGCATCTAGCTTCAACCCTGTCAAGTGTGAGTGTCGGAGGGTCTTATATTTCTCGCATGCATTTTTTACCTTTGTCTCAGACTCCTTACGGATAATCTAGTGCTTTGCACGCACGGATGGCGGTAGATGTCCTTTCCTCTCCCCGAGCCTTTGCCTTCTTGTGCTCGTTTCCTCATCTTCCACAAGGCGTGCCTCCCGCCCCTCCCGTTCTTAATACCTCAAAGACCGCTTTCTATCGAGCTTTCTCTCCACTGCCATTCTTCACCTTTGTTTCACACCTTCTTACTCTTTGATCTTCCCTCGTTGATTCTTTCATGTCACATACTAGCCGAGCCTTTTCGAGGTACCGACGTGGAGTCCTGTTTTTCCCGCCTTCAGGATCGCACTGCGGTCCTACAATCTCAATTTATCACCTTCGCAGTCGATTTCTCCCTTCAAGCTTGCCTCCAGCTCCAGGTGGGTGAACGGCCGCAAATATTTTTCCCTCCCCCGGCTGTCTGTCAGAGCGTCCTCAGACGCACGCCTGCCCGTCATTTCTCGGAGACCCTTTCCTCTTGGGCATTCTGACATTCCTTCTCTTCGGTACATGCCCTTTGAATTGTTTTTCGATGCTCTCCTCTTTCCCAGCCTAACCAAGGTCTTTTTTCGGCTGTGCACGAGTGCTGCGGCTATCTGTGGACCGTTCAACTGGTCCGGCTCCCCATCGCCTCCATCGCCCCACCCTCCAACCCGCAGGCTATCCGTCCCTCCCCTTCTACTTGCTTCACTCCCAGTTCGTCCGACCGTATGGGCCTGTGGCTCCACCTGCTGCCAATGAAGCCGTGTCCCACCTCCCCCTTTCCCCATTCCAAGCCTCGCGGGCTCGCTGCTATGGTTCAGCTTAGGGTATGGGTACACTGAAGATTGGCGACAGGGAACTATGACATGGAGGGAGAGAGATTGAGACATATTGTGAAGATCCATCGAGTTTTGGATGTTTTATGTTTTATTTGCTCGTGGACCGCCTGGTTCTGTCCACTTATTGCACCACTCTTTTTTTCTCTTTTTTCATTTAATCTTTTATCGGGTTCCTAGATCAACTGTGCTTTCGACGTACTGCCTGGCGCCAACCACACCTGGATCCTTTTCGGTGGAAAGGAAGGTGCGAGGCCATGATATGAAGAGATTTGGCAGCAAAGGGAAAGAAGTTAAATGTACAAATTGTAACCCCCTTTTCATGTCTCTATTCCGCATTTCCCATGTCAGGCAAAGACAACATCAAGTTGCCTTATCTCTCCTCTCCCTCTCAGCCATTACTTGCGGAGGTGGAACTTTTCCACAGGCGGAGGGAGGGAGTGAGGGAGTGGTCTCAGATTGTCTCCACGCAGAGCGGTTATTTCCGAGGACAGGCAGGGGTGGCCCCGGGGTTCCGAGGGGTCCGAGAAGACAGTTTTTTGATGAGGGTGGAGGTATTGATGCGCATAGAGGACTAGGAGAGTGTGAGAGACCGGTAAATAGGAAAACAGACGCTGGATCATGTACAGTGGCACGATGCAGGGTGAAAGATGGAGGTATCGAGGTGGAATTCGGAACTGTGGTTGTAGGGGCTACGGAATGTTGGGGCACCTTCTATGTCAAAGAAAGTTGCGATGGAGAGACGAGTGACGCTCACCCAGGTCCTGCTGACCATGTGGTGACATGTGGCCGCCAGCGCTTTTGCCTAGGATCATTTTGCGGCGAAAGTAATGTGTATTGGTATTGGAACTTGTACCAAAAGTAGAATTATGCATAGAGTCTTCGCTATGACTATATCGGATTTCCTTTCAGTAACCTTCTTTATACGTCTGGGAGAAAATGGAAGACTGGTGAATTGTAGCAGCATCATCTATCATAATTTAGAGATCAAACACCACCCAATGACCCTAGATCCTATGTATCATCACTAAAACTACTTCCAGGGCTACACACCTCGACCTTTCTCACTTTTGTCTCCCTCTCCTTTCTTCCCCAAACAAGCTTTGATGTGGTCTACCCTGTCTTCTAATAAATGCAGCATCCTTTTCACGCTTATGGAGTAAAATTTGCCTTTGAGTGATGCGATAATCGATGTAACCATTCGTATGAATGTCCCGTCGATCTTCATACCCACAATTGCTTGTGCACTCTCCCCGTCAAAAGCCGCGGCCCAAATCCCATCAAATAGATCGTGTCCAGCATGCTTGTAATTCGTGGGGGGCCCTTGATGTGCGCTCAACTCGTCCAACAGCCTTGCACGCGCCCATTCAAGCCTCATCTCTTCCTTTATTTCTGCCGTCAAGGTCTCACTCTGTACTGCTGCAGGTGCACTCTTACGTGCTCTGCTTTTGTCACTATTGCATGTGTCGATATTTATCTGAAACTGGCTTTCTTTAAGATTGTTTTGGCTCGTGGTCGTCACATTCTCGGCAGCGGTGATAGGCCCGGCCAGAATTTTGCGCGTCAGTGTGGAGCAGGAAACATTTGACGTGGGTAAAGGGGCAGATGCCAGCGTGTCTAAACATTCCAATAGAGCCAGGACCAGACCATCATGCTGCGGCAGAGAATAAAGAATATCACCGACGACCGCAGCTTTGTCTTCCTCTAACGCGCACTTGTCATCATTCATGTCTGACGCAAGCTCATTCTGACAATTTATTCTAGCCTGTCCATCCGCCTTTGCGCGACAGCTTCTTGTCAAACTGTGACGTGTCGCTCCGTTGGGCCCATCGGCTTGTTGATGGAGACGTTCCAAGATCCGAGGCACTCCTGCTCGGGTCCACAACACCTGGTAGGTAACCCACCGATTAATTGCCCCTCCATATCTCAATACCCTTCTCAGCGCCCAGGCGGCTTCTAGTCTGAGATCGATCCCCACGTCCTTTTCCTGGGTGACGAGGTTCGTTTGCTCCTCTTGTAGTTGTTCTGCCGTCTTGTTGGCTCCGGCAGCGGCCGCTCGAGGTGACAGGCCTTCCATGTGAAGGGGAGGGTGAATCTGATCCAAGATTAGGGAGACCGCGTCGGCAATCTGGCAATACGCATGGGGCGGGCAGACGACCGGAGAAAGGAAGGTGTCTTCCTGGGTTTCGGTGCAGTGCCCGCCACATCCCTCCACAAGCTCCAGGGGGGTCAAGAGATTTGCGGTGGCAAAGACGCAATATTGCCGGACCTTGTAAAGTCGGTGTTCTCCTTTCCTGTCAAATGTATAAAGTACAATGCAATTATATCTGTCAGAATATCCCGCAGAAAATACGGGGATCACCGCAAACCCTCAGGATCTTTTGATTTTTCACTCTCCTCCATCAATGTCTCCCCATACATTGTTAAAACTGGCAAAGCCTTCTTGTAGAATGAACAGGAATGAGGATACTCGGTTCGCCTCTTTCCCCCCGTTGTCAGTTTGCTAACCAAAATCTCTGCGTGTCGACGGACACCACTTGACTGATCACGCGTACAACGCATGGGTGGTAGGACAAAAGAAATGTGAAGTAGGGTGAGATATACGTTAGAAACACGGAGTGTTTTGGGGCGAACACATGCTATCTGGGCAGAGCAGAATAGTCAAGACCTTCTCGTTCGCAGGATCTGGTCAAGCACGTATTACCATGGCATTGATCATGGCCACGAGCAAGGCGTTCCCGATGCCGGCTGCACATACGTCCTCGATCATTTTCGGCCTTTCAACGAACGGTCTGTTGCTCAGGAGGGAGCGAAGGGCCCAAGAGGCGTCGCATAAAACTTCCTGTGGGAGCCAAAAGGATGCGTTAGGGATGTAAACGAGAATGGCGCACGGTATAGAAAGCGGGTATCGTGGAAGGTGCCGCCTGCAGGTTGAAATGGGGTAAAACGCGAGTGCCGTCTTTTAAAGCCCGCAAAGACGGCCATACTAATGAGCAGCATGGATCACAACAATCGGAGGAGAAGATGGATCGCCACAATTAAATTCAGAAAGGCCCATCTCCCACTAACCTTGTCCTCAATGTTAACAAAAAGCCAGCCAAGGCGAGAAACGATGTACGAGACATCGGTCCACCCCTCGCGGTGAAAATCGAAGTGCTTCCGATTGACGAGATTTGTCTAGAATGGAGGGACAATAGGAGAAAAGGACTCTGTTGAATTGCTGGTGGCTTCAAATCTGCAGAAGCACTCTATGCCCCCCTGGTCTGCTTCCATACCAAGACCCATACTGTCGTGCGCAAGGAAACCAGATCACGGTCAGGCACCCAGGTGTCGAGGAGCGGTTGAATCACGCCAAGGGAGAGTACAAGGTCTCGATGCTGGGGTGAGGAAAGAGGAGATGGGAGAAAGGAGGGAAATGCTTGGCTGGCGGAGAGAGATAGGCAGAGAGACAGAAAAGGACGTGGTACCTTGGCATTATCGCCAGCTATGTTCCCCAGGGCCCAAGCACACTGAGTGACGACCTCGGTGTGGTTCGAGGCGAGGAGGCTCACAAGGTGTGGGACAGCATTGTGAGATACGACTTCAACCGTGTGCTCGCTGGTGCCTGAATGGTGGCGTGATATTATTGGAAGAGGGAGGAAATATGTATTGGGTTCTGATGCCGGTTTGAGTGTCAAAGCGAGAGCATTCGAAGATATTGGGATCTACCTGAGGAAAGGTTGGTAAGAAGCCAGGCCGCCTCCACTTGAAGATGTGGGAGTGCATTATCCTTTAAGAAAGAAATAATCTGGCGACGTGTCGAGGCAATGAGTGGCAGTATGAAGTGTGAGGACAACTGCTGCAGAGAGGAAGCAACTCACCTTTGGGACGAGCCCGGCGCGGATCACGGCGCCGCACTCATGGACTGTGTTTTTAGTCGAACACACGAGGCGACGAAGTTCCACTAATCCTTTGTGCTGCAGGTAAATATCATCACTACAGACATATCGAAGTTTGTCGGACATTACTGTAGACTCGCAAAAGCCAGTGGATGAGGAAGGAAAGAAAAACAAGAAATTCAAAGCGCAGTCGTTTGACTGAAGAATTCTGATCCTAGAAGCTGCTATTCATAGAGTTCCAATACACATTCAAATAATTTAGTAAGTTCTACAAGGTTATAGCCAGTCTTTACCTTCCAGTCGAAGCCCATCAAAAACGTGTTCTTCCTCAGGGCTGATGGCGGCGTCGAGAAATGCTTGTACTTCACCCGGTGTTAGAAATGAAAGTATTGCTTTCAATGCATCCAGACGAGCAGGGCGGAATGTGTCAAGAATAATGGCACCAAGTAATGCTGCTTCCGTTCGTGTGCATTTGGCATCTTCTACGCTCCGTCCTACGCGTCCTTCTCCTAGTCCCTCTCCTCCTTCTCCATTTCCTCTTCCTCTTCCCTTAGTCCCCATAGCCATGATACCGTCGTCTAAAATTACATGTATAGATTCGAAATAAGCTATTAATTGACTTTGTATGAGTAGAAATGGTTCGTGAATAGAGTTCAAAGGCATGATGGGGGGGTACGTGGGGGAGGTTATGGAGGGGGAGTCCGAGACGAGCGGGCGACGGCTGTCGCTCCCTGAATCCCCGCCCTTCAAAGGCCAAGCTAAACAATTATTTATTTTTACTTTACCATAGAACTGAGTGATGCGATCCAGCAGTATGTTTAACAAAGGATAAATACTCCGATGAATCCTTTGGAGCCCTTCTGGCCAGGAAACAAAAGGAGCAAACGGTGGTAGGAAGGCGAGAAGGATGAAATGAAAAACTGATGGGCCTCGTTGACAAATACTTTCTTGAAAACTCGCAATTTGTCTTGAAAGTACCGATTGAGTGCGAGTTCTTTAAGCATGAAGTATTCTAAATTATGTTTTTTTTCCTTTTCGATATTCCAATATGCCATCGTATGCCCGCCGAGAGCTTCTGTATCATGAACTATTTAAACATTTTATTTATTTTTCCGTCCTAATTTTCCAAAATGCCATCGTCTGCCCGCCTGCCCGCTAACGCTTAAACCCACCACGACTCATCCTTCTTTCTTTCACGTCTCATCACATCAGATGTCTCATGACTGCCATGTCCTACTTATCACAAGAGATCCATGTTCCCCAAAACATTCATTTTCACCGCCTCCCTGCCTTCCTTTGCCTTTCCCCTCCGCTGTACCCGGAGGGAAGCAGCAGTGACGGCCCCCCTCATTTTTGTATTCAAGTGTTTTTGGTCCTCATGCCCCCAAGTCCTCCTTTTCTCTGATTCGCCCTCACAACAAGCATCGCATGGAAAATGTCCCGTGTTGTTGAACCGAAAAATGGACAGAGCGTCCTCCAGGAAGGAGGAC